AGGTGTTTTTTTTTTTCCCCCAATAAATTAGCAGGGATCACTGAGGATGGGAGGTGGAACAGCAATCATCGTTCCCTTTAGGCTAACTCCTGGACAAAGCACAAAGGATTGGGACAACTGGGTGGTGAGGTCAAACCCATTTCTCCCAGTTGCTCTGAGCACAGGATACGGGCTGTTCTGGAACATGAAGTCTCTGTGCTCTCTCTTAGAATGGTTGAAAACTTCCCAAAGAACACAGGGAAAAAAGCACTGAAAAACAGGAATGTGACTGTCCCCTGCTTGTGGGATAGTTCCCAGGTCCTTAAAGAACCTGGAATCTTATTCCCTTTTCTCTCTCTGAAGGTACTGCCATGAGATTCTTGACAGTTTCTGTCCAGAAACTGAGCTGTGGTCCAATAGTTTTGGTACCAACAAAAGGTACCTTATGGCTGTAAACTTTCCTCCAGCTTCATCAGAGTATTTCTTGCTGTAGATGAACCCTAATCATTACTTTATTTTGAAGTTTCCAGTTCGGATTCCTGGGCTCATCGAGAGCTTTAGAGGCTCCTGAAAAACAAGTTTGGAATCCATGCAGACTGCTCAGAGAAATGCTGGGGGTTTTGGAGCTCCTTGTGCTCCACGCTGTGTTTTACTCCTCGATTTTCCCTGTCAGCTAAACCCTTCTGAGTTATGAAATCCACGCTTTTCCCTTTACTCTGATTCACGTGTGGTTAACACTATAAATCCACAGCAGTAGGACATCAACTCCAAGTCAACCCTGTTTCCGTGAAGGAGCTTGGCCCAGCTCAGCATCTCCAGTGAAGCTCCTTCACCAAACAAGCACAAACACACGGTTCAGCTCAGATCCCACAGCGGGCCGTGTCACCACATTGGCGCTGCTCGCTCCCTGGAGCTCGGAGAAATGTGGCTCTTCCAGACCAGCTGAGACTTCCCAGCCCGACCAAGGTCACTGGAGAACCGCCTGCCACTCTGACATTTGAGTCTGAACTCTGCTGCACTGAGGTCATAACATAATCACCTCCCCGTCCCTGGCCACTCCAGCTCAACCTCTCCCTTTGCCTCATTAGTAACCGACTGGCTGTTTACAAAGCAATAGTAAACACACTTAGCCATTGTCAAGGCAGAAAATAATAACAACAACAGTAATTATAAACCCTCAAGTGCAGGGTCAGAGGGTCAGCCACTCATCTTTAAAAGCAGACGAGGATATTTGAAGGTGCCCTGGTAATTACGCTGTGGGTAAAGCTCTCGCTGAATTCAGTGGTGTGAGGTGACTGCTGTGGAAGCAGGGCACAATCCAAGATTCCCTTGGTAGAGCAAAAGTTCTAAAAACCTCTATCCAACACAGCCCTCCTGTTTTTCTCTGGAAGTAGAGTTCCACATCTGCTAAGTGACAAAGTCAGCGTCTACTCTTTCCCCTCGCTATTTGGCATAGTTTGAATTTCTGAGGATTAATTTCTTGAGCAGTCAGTGATGCCTGACTGCAACCCATACAAAAACACTTGGGCCGATGAGGACAAGTCTGTTTGCAATTTTGAGGGTAACATTTAAAAGATCCGTCAGCTTAGTTTGAAAGGAAACCTGAAAGCAATATACCTCATTTATTTTTTCTTGGCTTAGGATGTACGATCTTTCCTTTAATTATCTACATAGAGCCCTGGAATAGTTTGGGTGGGAAGGGACCTTAAAGCTCATCCAGTCCAATCCTTGTCATGGGCAGGGACACCTTCCACCAGCCCAGGATGCTCCAACCTGACCTTGGACACTTCCAGGGATCCAGGGGCAGCCACAGCTTCTCTGGGAATTCCATCCCAGGCCCTCCCCACCCTCCCAGCCAGCAATTCCTTCCCAATCTCCCATCTGTCTCTGCCCTCTGGCAGTGGGAAGCCGTTCCCTGTGTCCTGTCCCTCCATGCCTTGTCCCCAGTCCAGCCTTTTACCCTCCCTTCAAGGAGGACCAGCACTTTCTCACTGAAATTTCTCAACTGATGCTCACTGAAATCAAAGTTTGTTTGTTTGTTTTTCTTTCTTTCTTTCTTTTTTTTTTCCCCCTGAAATCTCTTTAGAGATCACACTTAGGCGGCATAACCTGACACTTGGTGTTTTTCTGTAAATTAGTTTTTCTGGAGCTCCATCTGCCGCGAGGGGGGGCTCTGTGTGGAGCCTTTTGCCGCAGAATAAAGCCGTACTCCTTATAACACAAACACAGTCCCGGAGAACTCCAAACGCACAACAAATAAACACAAGCAAACAAATAAACTGGGCTTGTGGCCGTCAAGTCTGTGTCGCTTCATTTCACAGAAGCAGCGCAGGAGGTTCCATGCGGGGACGGCCGTGAGGCGATGGACGCCCCCGCCGCCCTCACGCCCTCCCCTAGGGCGCCTTTCCCAGCCCTCCCGCTCCCCGCCTTTCCCCGGGATTTCCCCATTCTCTCCACCTTTTTGTGTTTTGTTTTCCACGTGTCCTGCGGCCTTTGCAGGGCTCGGCTGAGGGCCGGGAGGGCCGGCACCGCCTCCCACACGTGTGTGGGAGGGAGCGGAGCTGCCCCCGGTGCCCTCGCCGGGGCCGCGGGACTGTGACGGGGGCCGGGGCGGCTCCGGCTCCTCCTTCGCCGGCGGCAAAGCGAAAGCGAAAGGAGAGGTCCCGGCAGTGCTCAGAGGGCTCTGGGGAGCCGGGGGACCCCGGGGTGAGCCCTCATCCCGTGCCCGGCCGCTGTCGGAGGGTCCCACCCGCGCGGTGAGCGGCGATGGAGCCCCCGGGGCGCAGGGGACGCGGAAAAGCCGAGGGAAAAAAGTTCATTTACCCTTTCACTTGCCTCTTTCACAGGAAGCGGAACAGAAGTCTGTAAGTTTTGGTTTCTCGATCCAGCACCAGGAAGGGATCTCTGGAGTGTCAGCTGGATTTCAAGCCTCGCTGGTGAGTGAAGCAGGTTCGGCGGCGTCGGGTCAGGACCGAGGGGAGGATTCGCCTCAGGAATGCCCGGACGGGTCGGGATGTTGGGCTGTGCCTTCTGGGGTCCCGGCACTGCTCAGGGGGGGTTTCTAACCTTAATCTGAGAGTATCCAACCTTGCCCTGCCCGGGCATCCATAGGCTGGATTTGGCAGGGAGCTCATGCACCTTGGAATCAGATCTGGATTGGGGGCCCATGAGCTTCCCTTAATCCCTTTTTATCTGTGTCCACAAAATGTTTGTGGCAGCGCATTCCAGATTCTAAACTACCTGCTGTGTAAAAGTGTTTTCATTTGCGTTAGGCAGGTTCACAGCACCCCAGGCTGGTTTGGGTGGGAAGGGACCTTAAAGACCATCCAGGGACACCTTCCACCAGCCCAGGCTGCTCCAACCTGGCCTTGGACACTTCCAGGGATCCAGGGGCAGCCACAGCTTCTCTGCCCAACCTATGCCAGGGCCTCCCCACCCTCCCAGCCAGCAATTCCTTCCCAATATCCCATCTAATCCTGCCCTCCGGCACTGGGAAAACCCCAAACAATACACCCAGTGTTGTCATTTTTTTCCCCTGTTCCCTCAGGTTTCGATGGATTTGACGAGCCCCCCACTATCTCTAAGAGACAACGGGTTTGTAAGTATTTCCTGATGGGAATAAAATGTGTATTTGACAGTTGTGTCTCTGCCTGAAGGTTTGTTCTAGGTCCCTGCTTCACTTTCCTCCACCCTTCAGCACTCGGGACATTCCTCATTCTCACCTCCCTTGTCCACAGGGAGAGTCTCATTCCAGAGTCTCTGCATTACAGATCCTGCTAGACCTTCCCTGTCCTGCCTCTCTTGCTCATCTCTTTGTGGAGATTTTTTAGGGTAATTTCCTTTTTCCTGGGGACTCCCTTGCTTCAGTTCCAGCAGAGCACGTGTGTTTGGATGGAACTTTCCCTGGGATTTCTTCTGTTTTCCTGCCTATTTTTTTTCCTTTTTTCCCAGGTTGAAAACTGTTGTCTTAGATAATTTTTCAGTAAAAAAAACAGGAGTCCTTTTTCTTACCAGCTTCCAGCTGCTGACAGATGCATCCTCCCGCTTTCCTGCACTCAGTCCCTCCAGTGAAGGGATTTTCCCAGTTGGAAGGGATGCACAGATGGGCATTCCCATTTGAAACTGGACAAAGTAGCAGGAAAAAAAAACCAAAACACTTTCTATTTCATTGTCTTTAGGAAATACCCAGTATCACCGAGAGAATACACAAGATTATCTAATTTAGACCTTTTCCCTGCCTACATTTCATGGGTCCCGTTCAAGTTTTATGTAATCTTAAGTAAAAGGGAGGGATTGTTTCAGCCTGTCTCTTTGGATTTTTTTTTTTTTTTTTTTTTTATCTTCTGCAGAATGTTGCAGCCATAGAAACAAAACAAGAACAAATAGTTGCTCTCTTTTTGGGCTTTATCCAGCTGTGGCTTCCCTGTGCTTGTGAACTTCTGCCCTGAAGTGCTTCTATTCTGAAATGGTCCTTTTATCACCTTCCCTGATATCACCTTTTATTTGCCAACCTCCTTGGGCTTGGAAGAATCCCATTTTGACATTTATTTTCCTTATTTCTACATTCTCTTAGAGGAACTGCTGAGAAAGCACAGAGATAAACATTTGTATGTTCAAGGGCCTTAGTTCTGTGTGGAAGAACATGAAGACAACTTGCTTTTCTTATTTATCCAAATATTACCCTGTGGATATTTGCAGCTGGATAGCGAGCAAATAATAATGAGTGACCAATAATCCACATTTTCTCAGATTTTTGTCCTGCCCAGCCATTAAAATAGTCCAATAATTAGGCCTAAGTGAATGATTATTTCCTTTTTTTGGTAAATTATGTGCTATGTGCTCTCCTCTGGAGGTTCTAGGGAGATTTAATTATGGAATATTTGACTCCCCACATTCTCTCGCCTGCATAATTAGAGAGAAATGGCAAAATAATTTGGATTTTGATTGGGCAGTAGTGTGGCAAAATGCTCCGTGCAGCTGCAGAGGGTTTATTTGTGTCACTTTGAAGACTGATTTGTGTGATGTGGGGCAGTTTTTGCCTCAGGAAGGGCAGAGCCAGCGTGTGCCTCTTTTCTCTGCAGGGTATTGTGACCCCCGAGCCTCTGGGGACAGAGGAGAACGTGGAAAGACTCAGGGAAGAACTGAAGGCATGGAAGGCAAGTTCTGAAAAACACATGGAATTGTAGGAACCACCTCAAAGATAAAGACCTTTAATCTATCCTTCTAAAACCAGATCAACCCCCTCCTCAGTTATAACATTATATAACTTTATATTTTATATATAACTTTATATAACATATTTAACATGTTCTCTATTCTTCTTTCAATGCTTGTGTTGATCTCAGCACTAACTCCTCTTCTAAGCCTAATATTTACCTGGAGCCTTAGAAAAATAAATAAACATAAAGGGCTCGCTGGCTGGAGGTTTTGTTTGTTCCCATAAAGGCAAAAAAAAAAAAAAAAAAAAAAAAAAAAAAAAAAAAAAAAAAAAAAAAAAAAAAAGAAAGAATGAAATTAAAATATTTCTTTTCTTTTCGCTACCCAGGCAAGAGTTGCAAAAGCTGAAAATGTAAAAGATGACCTTCTTCTCTCCAAAGCGTGTGCTGAGGAAGAGTGTGCCAAAGTACAGGAGGAGCTGCTGAAGCTGCAAGACTTGAAGAATATTGGTCAGAAGGACAGTAGCATATTTAGGGACAAACTTGCGGTATGGAGAAGGCTGTTTGGATTTGGGGGTGGGTCGGGGGTTGTGAAGGAGCTGTTGATTAGAGAAAATAGGAGGAATATTTCCCTTCCAGCTGAAATGGCTTTCCCAGTTTGTGGAATGTACAGCTAGGATGTTCTGCACATTTTTTTTTTTCCCTCCACACATTAACTTTTTTCACTGGCAGGTTAAAAACCAGTGCAACAAAATAAGTCTATTTTGTGGGGGTGAAAAGTGACAAACCCAATTTTCCTCTTCCAAGGTTTTCCACTCTGAGTGTCAGTTCTGTGTGATGTGGGTAAAACGGAACGGGCTGATTCCACTGCTCCCTGTTTTCCAAGAGGTTACAGCACCCAAGGGATCAGCATTTCTTAAGCCAGGACCTGTTTGAGGAGGGTTTTTCTTCCTTGAACTGGATGTTTCTAGAGCTGATTGTCTCATTCCCTCAATATTCCAAGTGCAGTCCCCGGTGCAGTAATGGGAGAAGATTCCACAGGCTGATAGAGGAGGTGATTCTGGGGAGGTTTGGCTTGGCCTGTGGATCACTGAGGAGAAATCCAATATTGCAGACTATTAAAATATAAATAATAGGTTAGGTACATTCAGGTCAGCATGAGATCTTCTGAAAGGTGGGTTGGGTTCTTTCATCTCTTCAATCTCAGATGGTTGGATTTTACACCCGGGAAAGGTCGTTCTCATCATCTGGCTTTTGTTTCACCTTCAGCTGGTGGGAGCTGCTCTGAATGTCTCCAGTGGCTGGTGACTTCAAAGGAGCCATCTGGGGATGGCTGGAGCTGACAACATCTGCTATGTCTCCTACTCATTCTGTCATGTTCCCTGTCCAGGAATTCCGGGATTTAGTTCCAGAGGCTTTGTGCCCAAGGAGGATTCACTGGTGTGGAGGAAGGAGAGGTCATCCCTCTTCCTGAAGAACACAAAGAGGGAAGAGCAGCAGCGTGTCAGAAGCTGCCCAGAATGTGCTGAAATACATTTTTCTCTTTATTTCTGTGTTTAATTTTGCATTCCCTACTTTTTGGGCTGCAGGACCAACTCCATCTGCTGTCCAGGGAAAACACTGAGCTGGAGAAAGACATTGAAAAGCTCAAGGAAGACCTTAAAGAACACAGTTCAGTGCAGGCACTGAACACTCAGGTGAAGCTGAAAATGTTTCTAAATTCATCTTTTAGAAGGGCAAATCCTTATTTTCACAGAATCACGGAATGCTTTGGGTCTGAGGTCACCTTAAAGCTCATCTCGTTCCATCCCCAGGGACAAGAGGATGGATGAAATAAGTCATTATATGACTTAATAAGTCATGATGTGACTGAAATGTTTAAATACATTGGCCATTATATGGCAAATATAGCATTTATTTTAGCTTTTACTGACCTTGATTATAGTCTCTCTCATAGTACATGAATACATCTTATATTTTAATTTATTACACCTCTCATCAATAACTCAGGTTGCAGCCAGGTAAATATTTGTGATACTGAGTAGATTTAAACTCAGCATCCAAGGTGTCCTGTGGTGAAACTGCTGCAGACTCTGGAGTGAGCGTTCCGAAATTGGAATTTCTCCTGTGGAAATTCCAGCTTTTAAAAATCTGTTTTACTTCCAAATTAGAGGAAATAGAATTTTTTTGGGGAATTTGCAGGAAAATGAAAACACTGGTCAGGACAAGGAGATTCAGTGGGACCAGGGATCTCCTCCCAGTGCTGGAATTATCTTTAGGAAGAGTGGCTCCCTTTCCCTTGGCAATGGAGGGAATGGAAAGAGGCAGGTTCACAGATAAGATGGCTTTGGAGATAATTGCCAGGAATGCTTTAATTATTCTGTTTATTTTATCCTGACACAAACAGTGTTTTTCTTCTACACAGGGTTTTATTTTGAAATAATTACATAAAAGGGGGGAAAAAACCCATAACCTGTAACTCCCTCAAGTCTATCAAAGCAACCTTTTTCTAACCAACACGTTCAGGAACAATTTATCCCATCCTCGTTGCAAAATATTTCATCGATTATGGCTGTTAAACCTTATAAAAAAAAAAAAAAACACACCAAAATACATGTAGCATTTCAAGGCAGAATCACCATCCTCCTCCAGTTCTGCTCAGTAAGCTGCAGAAATTATTGACGTTTCCCTCTCTCGGTTCTGACATTTTAGATTAAAAAGGACGTGGCAGAAATGAAACTGAAGTTCAGCCACATGGAAGGCACAACCCATTACTCAGACATGGACACTCACTGCGTTTTTGGTGCAGCCACCAAGATCCCCTTCAGCCTGAACCAGAACCAGGCGCTGCTGACTTTTGAAGATGAAGGAGGTGTGGTGCATATTTTAAGTAGAAAATTAACGTTTCTGCTGTATTTCACCCGGTGGTGAAGTGGTTTTCACCCAGGGGTATTTGGAGTGAAAGGGGAGAAGTCCAGTAATAATATTTTACTCAGTAAGAGCATCTTTTGATAGCACAAAAGTTTTACTATTCTTTACCCCTCACAATATATCTTAATATATATAATATTTATATCTGTTATAATACATTTATTATTATTATTTATATTTTTTCTTGTTCATTATTATTATAACATTTTGCCTGCAACCAGGGAGGCTTTATGGAAATGCACATGCCTGAAGGCCTGTGGGACCTGGTTGCCTAATTGTTATTTATTTCTTCTTTTATTGATGCAGAAGGCCATTTTGCTTAAGAGACTGGGGATTAGTTTGGGGCTTACAATGATTAAACAGGGCTTTTCATATCTGATTTTCCCCTAGTTGCCCAGAGGCTGACAAAAAAGGGGAAGCACACTGTGAACCTGGACAACAACGTAGTAGATGTGAGAGCGGTGCCTGTTCCACTTGAAATGGGACTCAAATTTAAGGTAAACAAGTGAAATATGAAGCTACAAAAATAGGAGTTCTTAAAAACCTTTAGGTTTTTGGTTTGGTTTGGGGTTTTTTTGGTGTGGTTGTTTTTTTTTTTTTTTTTTTTTGGGGGGGGGTGTTGTTTGTTTGAGTTTTTTCTCCAGTGTTTTCAGTCACAAAGTTCGCCACAAATTTTGTCATTTTTAGCTCCACGTCATCATTTCTGGAAAGAAGATCATCGTGTCAGACATACCTGAGCTGCTCATTCCTCATGAATGGATGAGAGACAAATTAGAGCTGAACTTCTACAAAACTCAGCAGGGAGGAGGGGGAGAAATAGAAGATGTGAGCTACGACAGTGGGTCTAGAACAGCTGTGATTACATTCCTCAGACCTGGAGGTAGAGTATGGAATGTTTTGTTCCCCCTATTTAGGCCAAACTGTCCACTCTGGGTTACTTTCTGTGTAAAGCTGTGGCTTCACCCACACATCTGGAAATAAAGCAGCATTTCACCCCAGCCCTTTTTTGATCAAACATGGCCTGGCCACACTTGATGAGCTCTATTTCTTTCATAACTTTGCCAAACCCCTGGTTTTTATGTTGCATTGCCAGACACCCAGATTGCAAAAAGAAAACGAGGAGAATGTGTTTGGTTTTGGCTCTTGTTTCACACCAGTGAAGTGGGTCAGGCATTCCCATTGCCCAATTCTGTGAAGATCAGTGGACCCAAATCCACACATAGCAGCTGCTTTAGATTTATTTCAGCAGCTTTTGTGGGAGTTTCATGATTTTGCTTTGGGTTTTTGTTTTTGGGTTTGTTTGTTTTTTTTTTTTTTTTACATAAACTTTTTGCACGATGCACACAAAAAGCCTACAAGTGTTAGCTGGACTTGATGACCCTGCTGGGTCCCTTCCAACTCAGCATATTCCATGATTTTTGTGATATATTACTTTCTACATTAGTTTCTACAAAGATGAGTCTGTGCTTTGAGATGCTTATAAAACACAGTTTAAATTACACGACTCTTAACCTTTCTTTTTCTCCTTCTCCATTTCAGCCAGCAACAACTTTCAGGGATCTCCTCCATACTCTTTCTCTGTAGGTGGAAGGTGCTACAAACTTCCTGTTTCCTCACATGCCTACCTACAGTTGGAAAAGCTTCAGGTAAAATAATCTAGCCCAGGCAAACAGAACGGGTAGGTGGGAAACAGGAGCTGTGGGCAGGATCTCCAGTCCTGAGCCCTTGCAGGGGCTTTTGTGTCGTGGATTTTGTGTAACTTTATAACAAGTGTGAGTCTGCAACAGGCTGATAATCTCGTGTTTTTGCAGTGGGAAAGCTGTAACGTATTTATAAAGGGGTGTGCGTGTCTTGCCTTGATTAAATTTTATCAGAACTCACCATAATGCCCGTGCTGGATGGCAGGAAAGTGTTTGGGAAGGAGGTTAATCCTGGACACAGTGTTTTCCAAGCCTCCCTGATGAGAGTGCCAGCAGAGAAACATTTATTATCTCCTTCATTCCTTGCATTCATTCTTGCAGCCCAAACACTGACTCCTCTCCCTGTAGCACAGAGCTTATCATCCTATTCCCATGGAATGCTCATCCCCTTCTCACTGGAATTGCCTCTTGCTTTATGAACAGATGGTAATCGAGTCAGCATTGTGGATATAATTGTGGATATAATCAGCCCTTTGTAATTAAAGCAGGGGCTGGAGTGTGTGTGCAGGAGACACAGCAGCTTTGCAGGTGTGGAGCGTGTCCTGGCAGGGGATTTATGGAGTGGTGCTCTGGAGTCATCAGAGATCCCCAAAATCCTGAGTGGGGGTGTGTTAGGGAGTGTAGGACACACTGGTTAAGGAGTCTGCATTCACTGAACTCAGCTGGAATATCCTGAGTGGGGAAAGACCCACAAGGCTCACCAGTCCCACTCCTGGCCCTGCACAGACACCCCAATGATCCCACCCTGTCCCTGAGAGCTCCAAACAGGGAAAAGTCTCCCCTCAGTCTCCTCCAGGATGAACAAACCAGTGCCAGGAATGTCCCCCACTATCCCAAATCTTTTCCTAACCAAAGATCCCAGCCACACCTGCTCAGGGAACTGAATTCCCAAAATCGGCCAGCCCATGACGTGTCATCCCAGCATGTCTTTCTTTCCTCCACAGCCATACTGGGGGGTTTCCAAGAAGACCATCCTGCTGGAAGGAATCCAAGAGGTGGAAGAGGATGAGGAAGATATCCAGGACATGATTGAAATCCACTTCCAAAAGCCGAGTAACGGCGGGGGGGAAATCGAGCAAATCAAATACGTCTCAAAAGAAGCAGCCTGTGTTTGCTTTGAGGAGGATACTGAGAATGCCAGCTAGGAATTCAGAGTGAACTCCTCACATTCCCAGTTTTTGCTCCATCAGAGGCATAGGAACTGTGCTTTTATGGTTGAAATTTGTCCTGGTAAAAGAGGAATTACTGCCCTTCTGATTTGTGCAAGGGCACAGACTCTGATGAAAGACAGAGGAAGAGCCTCCATCAGCACTTGAAACATCGACTGAGATTCTATGCAAATTGGCAAATTTTGTGTCTTGTAAATGTTTATATAGTTCACATACTCCAAAGTGGGATAAATATATGATTTCTTACATTTTGGATTATAAACCCACTCTGCAATCCCAATCCAAAGCCTGGAGCAGACCTGCCACCATCTTCCAAAGCTGGCTCTGACACAACTCCAGTCCTGCTGAGGCTGCTGAGTGCCACCAGATCTCAAATACCTGAAAGAAGCCCTGTAATTTCATAAAATCCAATTTATCCAATGAGTAATGGAATTACAACAGAAAAAAGGGCAGTGCAGAAACATCAGTTTTACTCAAGGAATTGCAAATAATTAAGAAGAAATGCCCTGGCAGGAATGCTGCCTTGAGCTGCTGAGCTTCTACTAATTCACTTACTTTAATAAAAGCTTCTGCAATTAAATTTTTCCTCATTTTTGTCCATGTTTTTTTCTTACTTTAAGCTATTTACAGGCCAGGATGATGCTTTACCTAACCCAGACTGGTTTTGTAACAACACTGGGGAAACAGCCGGAGGGATCTGGTGACTCCCAGGCTCTGGGAGGGTGTGTGAGGAGGGAACAGGGAAATGCAGAGTCAGGGAAAGCTTTGTTTTCCAAGGAAAAATGCTTTTCTGCTGTCATCCTTGGAAGATAAATCCTCCTCTCACTTTGCATTTCCCTATCTTTTGCTGAAATGCTTTGCCCACAACAGCATTAATTTTCAAAACATTAACTTGAGTCTGACGTTGAAAATAACTTATTTTCAGGGTATTTGACGTGTTGGTGCAGGAAATGGACAATGCACCGAGCTCCTAAAAAATATCTCAGGGATTATTATTCCAGAGGAATTGAGCTGGCAAGAGATTGAGATGAATAAGGGAAGCTAAAAGGCTGCAAGCAGCAGTTTGGTTTGAATTTACTGTTGAGTGAGATACATGTGACTGTAGCACCTCTTGCTGTTTAGTGCATGCAAAGGCATGGATTGACTACCTGACCACTGTGAAGTAATAATAATAATATAATAATAATAATAAATAATAATAATAATAATAATAATAATAAAAAGGAGTAGCACTGAAGTGTTTATGGAGATCTTGTACTTCTGCTCACTTCAAAACTTGGTAAAATCAGACACCTTGAAAAGAAAGGGGGAAACCCCTGAATTTTAACTGTGCCACGTTGTTAAATACTGAGGACTAAATCCTTAAAAAAAGGAAGAGAGTGTAAAATTCCCACTGCAGAGCAGTGAGAAGCTGCAGGTTTTAAGCACCAAGATCATATTTTAAGTCACATTTTAAGACAATGAGCGTAAATGTCGTGCCGTTCTCTCTGATGAATTATGGTTTATGACGATGATTACCCTGTTAAAGTTTAAAGCAGTGGTGCCACGTAAAGGCTGGAGACTGTTTTTTATGGTGAAAAATAAGAATACAGAGTGCCCGTGCGATGCCGTTCCGGGTTCTGTCGCTGCTGGCGGGGATTCCCTCCGGGAGGGCGGCGGAACTCGCGTGTTGTTTCTCCGGCAGGGCGGGCACCGCAGCCCCCCCGGCTCCTCCTCCTTCCCTGCTCCTTTCGCTTTCGTTTCCCCCCCGGGCCGGGGAGGTCCGAGCCGAGCTCCCCGAGCTCCTGGGGCCTATCCCGGCTGGACCCCCATCCCGGCGGGACCCCCATCCCGGCAGGAGCCCCATCCCGGCAGGACCCCCATCCCGGCGGGACCCCATCCCGGCAGGAGCCCCATCCCGGCAGGAGCCCCATCCCGACAGGAGCCCCATCCCGGCAGGAGCCCCATCCCGACAGGACCCCCATCCCGGCGGGTCCCCATCCCGGCAGGACCCCCATCCCGGCAGGACCCCCATCCCGACAGGAGCCCCATCCCGGCAGGACCCCCATCCCGGCGGGTCCCCATCCCGGCGGGACCCCCATCCCGGCGGGACCCCCATCCTGGCTGGAGCCCATCCTGGCAGGAGCCCCATCCCGGCAGGAGCCCCATCCCGACAGGAGCCCCATCCCGGCGGGACCCCCATCCCGGCGGGTCCCCATCCCGGCGGGACCCCCATCCCGGCGGGACCCCCATCCCGGCAGGAGCCCCATCCCGGCAGGAGCCCCATCCCGGCAGGAGCCCCATCCCGGCGGAGCAGCGGTCATGGCAAGTGCCGAAGGACGGGAGGCGAACCCTGAGCGGAGAGCGGCCTTCTCCCGGCTGCGGGGGGAACAGGGAAGGAGAAGGGTGGGAAGGAATCCAGAGGGAGGGAAGCGAGTGGCGAGTGGCCGTGGGCGCCGCGCTGAGCAGCGCACGGAGCCGGGCCGTGCACGGCCCCACGGGTGTCCGGGAGTGCCGCAGGGAATGGCTTCCCACTGCCAGAGGGCAGGGACAGATGGGAGATTGGGAAGGAATTGCTGGCTGGGAGGGTGGGCAGGCCCTGGCACAGGTTGCTCAGAGAAGCTGTGGCTGCCCCTGGATCCCTGGAAGTGTCCAAGGCCAGGCTGGACGGGGCTTGGAGCGACCTGTGCTGGTGGAAGGTGACCCTGCCCGTGTCAGGGGAGTGGGACTGGTTGGTCTTTAAGGATCCGACGCAAACCAGTCTGTGATTCCACGATCCGTGGAGCAGCTTTGCCAAGGAACCCGTTGGCAGCGGTTACGGGCACAACAGAGCTCCTGCCCCTCTCCCTCCTGCCCATCCCTGCGGCCCCTCCCGCTGCTCCTGCCCAGGACCAGCTGCTCCACACGGGCTGCTCTCGGGAGCCATTCAGCACTAAACGCACGTTCCTGGTGGTTTTTTGTGTTGTTTTTTTTTTTCCCCCTAACCCCAATAGCAGGCACGAGTGTTGCTCCCAAACACCAGCTGGCAAGGTGTGAGATGCTGTCTGGCAGCTGAGAGCTCGGCAAGCGTGAGAAAAATCCCACATGGATCTCGGGAGCACCGTGTTTATATTCCCCTCGTGTTGTCTCATTAGTGCAGGGGACTTGCTTTCACACGAACGTTACCGCCAAAAATAATTGCCTAATGTAATTAAAGCTCCCGGCTCTTTAAGTTTGATGGGTGATAAAGGAGGGCCTGGTGTCTCTGTGAATTAAAAGCCTGCCTGGTTGCACAGCCTCACTGGATCTGTCTCCTCGTGGTGGCCCCCCGGGGGTTTGGACACACATCCTCCTTTGTGGCCCTCATGTTTTATGCAGCCCAGGCCCAGAAAAAAAAACTGAGAGGAGTGTAAAGAATTTACACGCAGTGGCTGACCTCGAGCCCAGTCTCTCTGAAGTTACTGGCAGCTCAGACACGCTGAATTTACTTCCTTTCTTCCAGAAAGTCAATGAACTGCTACTAGATTTAGTCAGCGTTCCAGTATTTACAGTGATTTTGCCGTGATATTCCCGGTGAAATGCTGCTGTTTGTGTCCGTGGAGCAGGAATGGAGAGCAAATGTGCTCCTCTTAGCAAGACACGGATGCAGAGCCTGGTTGGGATGGGTTTCATGTTTGCTGTGCTGGGGGTTTGCTCTGATGAGAATCATGTGTGCAGTGAGTTGTTTCACGCACTGCGAGTCTCGGATGGCTGGGATTATGTTCTCCCAATTTAACAAGGTTATCCATTTAATAAACGGAGAGAGATGAGTCAGAGCACAACCCCGGATCCGTGTCTGGTGAATTTAACAAGTAAGGACAGTGGGAATTCCACCCTTCCACTCTGGAAGGAATCCTTACTGAGCAGCCCCTGCAGTTACAGTTTTCATTCCCTTCACGTTTAGAGTGTTAGAATCGGAGGAAACAACATTATCAGTGTGACACTGGACCTTCCAGTTGAGAAACTGGAATTCAGTGCTAATTTTTCCTGCTTTAAGAAGATCCTGAGAGGGTGTAAATTACATTTAAGGCCGTTATTTAGTGCACAGCGATGTGGGTGCCTGAGATCTGATTCAGCAGCTTTCATTCACTGCTAAATGCAAAGGGAAGGGGAGTCACTCCAGGGATTGGGGTGAATGTGGGTGATCCCTACGGGTATTCCCTGCATTTACCACGTGCCATCTCTGCGCAGGCAACGGGAAGAGCCACCAAATCCTCCAGGACGGTTGTCATTGCTGGTGTCCCAGATGGCCTTCTGCAGGATGATGTCATGGCTGACATCCTCACCATCCACTTCCAAAAGTCAAGGAATAACGGTGGAGACGTGGAGGAAGTGACTTATCCGACAGCAAACAAAGGAGTCGCCTACGTAACCTTTGAAGATCAGGAAGGTATTTACATTAACGTCCTAAAGCACAGCCATCCCCTGGGGAATTAGCCCTAAGCCAAATGATCTTAAACTGTGTGTTAGTGCTAGAGTTTTGTAGGCTGGAAGATTAAAACCTCCCTTTGAGCCAGTGGAAGTTTTGGGATTTCATTTCTGCTCGCCGAGGTGACGACTCGGCCGTCACGCAAAGCGTTCCGCTCGGTTTTTGGGGAGGAAATTTGTGCCATGCCTAGCATTTTATTGTAGTCAGGCTTTTGAGAGTCAGTCTGTGCCAGCTGATGTTCTGGGCA